AGCAGCACAGTACAGAACTGATCAATGAACAGCTGTGTTAGGAACTGGAGTCAGATTCCCAGAATGAGTGATGTGGGAGTTAGGCTCCTGTTTCCTACTCTCTGCCCCTTTCCCCTTCCCACTTTTCCTGTCCCCCAAAACATATTCTACAGAAAGAAAGAAAATGGAGGGCTGATTATGGCAAAAGCTATTTGACTAGCTGTAGAAATAAAAGCAGAAACTGATGTCACAATGAGTTCATACAGCAGATGAATCAGGCAGGGCTAAACAAAAAAGGGAATTTAAATATCAAATTCATTAAACTATATCAAAAGAATATGAAATTAATGAAGATAGGTATGCATAAATGAATAAAAAACCCCATAATTTCCACATCATCAAATGCTCCTTCCCTTGGTAAATTGCATGCGACATCCTTAGGCATTAGTAGAAGTAACTTATCTGTATTATTTAAAAAAAAAGTGAAAGCACTGATCTCCAATTGTCTCATCACTTGACCCCAAGGACCAAAAGCAATGTGCTAAAAAAGAAATGTTAAAGGCTTCATCATCTTCATATCAAATGTAGGAGAAAATTACTGTAATTAAAAACAAAACTTTTCCTTCATTCAACTGATCCATACAGAAGTGCTGCAACCAGCTATCAAAGGGGGAAAAAAAACATTTAACCTACTCTGAGAAATTTTGGGATAACCACTCATTTTGGCTTAATCACTGCAGGCTCTGTTAAGTAAATTTGAATACATCAGTCTCAGTGGGTGTTTAATGCATCAGTCTACACGAGATGTTTAATGCACAGTAGCCTAATAAGACTGCACAGTAGTGTGCCAGGCAGAACCCATGCTAATACACTACTGTGCATTAATACTGGCCTACTGCACAGTAAGCATCACTAAAAAACCGTGTGCTGGTGTTATTGTGCAGTAACTATAGCTGCTGAGCATTTAGTTAGTACTTCATTAAGCATGTACTAAACTAAATGTGTGGTAACTACTGCTCATTAATGAATTTGTAAGGTAACAACTAGCAATGGCAATTGTCTGGAAAAACTGAAAGTTACAAATTTAGATGTCATTTTGTTTTTAAAAAATTACTTTTTCTTTCCTCGTTCTCAGATGTCTTCATTTTCTTTTCTCCTGAAACTACAAGAGGTATAATACTAGTGAGGCACCAGTGTTAGATATTTAAGTACTCTTTGCTCACATAAATATATTTACCGTACGTAAACTTATAAATCGGTACTTGCTATATCCTCTTTAAATCCTCTTTATATGCTCTTTTGCAGCATCTGATATAAGTAATATCTGTTGTTTTAATGACATTGTTATTTAAAATGGCAAGTCCACATTCCATATAGCTGAGAGAGCTGACTGCACGTCAAACTTGGAAACAGGAATCTAGATATTCATAAATCTAATTATATGCCTTCCTACAATACAAACTTCTAAAAGACAAATATTACATACATTTTAATTAGATTGTCCATATTTTAACTGGCTTTATAAGCTAACTTTAGAAGATATTTTACACTGTATTTCTGCCATTTCTGATTACTGTTATTGGAATTTTAACAGGAAAACACACCCATAATTGATTTGCTGCAGTATCCTGTAATAAAATTTTAGTTTAATGATGTGCAATGTGGTTTAGTTCAGTTTATTAAAATCAATGTAAAATAAAGTCTGCATACTACATAACATGCCAATTTGTATAGTTATAAAAATAATGAATTGAACTGCAAATATGATTGTTGAATCAGTGACTTTAAGAGCAAGACTCCTAGAGATACTCCTTTTTGTATATTTGAGAAACATTATATTTTCAAACACAGGGTTGCTTTTAAAACAATTCCTTACTCTATACTGTATTCACTTTGCATGAACAATACTTTTTATATCACACAGAATTCTTGAAAGAATTCCTTTTATGGAAAGTGACTTTGACCCAAATGCAACTGGTTTTCTTGAAATGGCATAATTTTCAACAAAACAAACAGCATCCAGCCCAAATACAGTTAGGGTATGTACAGATATTCAGGGAGGTTTGGGGGAGGTAAGATTGAGTTCAAAATGGCTGCCTATTCTACGGAAAATTGGGATGGCCCCCCATTCCCAACAGTGAGGGGCTTGGGGGGCTTGGGTGGGCTAGTGGCATCTGCAGGGGGACTTGTGGGGATTGATGGAGCTAGCAGGGTCTGTAGGGAGGTTGCTGGGGAGTTTGGTGGGATTGGGAGGGCTTGGGCAGGTTCTATTGGGAGGCTTGGGATCTCTGATCATACCAACCCTGCCCCCCACCAACTGCTTCCCCCTACACCTCCCCCAGTGGTGCCGAACTGTCTCATATCCCAAAAACTATTCCTGGAGCCAATTCTACTGGCATTCACTGGTCCCAGGAGCCTGACTGAACTAAGTTGGGATCAGGGGATGGGAAAGAGCCTCCAGGGGGCTGGGGGAGGGTTGGCAAGATCATGTAAACTAGTGGCTCTGCAGGGGTGGGGATGTTGACAGAATCAAGGGGGGCTCTCCCTCCGAGGATGAGCCACTATTTCTAGCCCCCCAACCCTCTTCCCTCCACCCCACAAGAACAACCCCACCTGGTGCACCAACCCCTCAGTTATGCCCAACCCTCCACTCTAACATACTTCCATCAGGTCCTGGCACCAGCAAACACCAATAAAACCAGCACCAGAAGTGGCTTTCAGGATCAAGGGGATTGCTGGGTTCAGAGGCAGGGGAGCTGGCTGACCTGTGAGGGGAAGCACTGTATGGAGGTGGGGGGCAAAAGAGTAGGGGAATAAAAACTGCCCAGTGCTGGGGCGGGGGGGGGGGG